AAGACTTCATTTTCAGGAATATTGTGCTGCTTTGGAATTCCTCACACCCTCATTTCAGATAATGGAAAACAATTCGACGAGGAATTCAAACAATTTTGTGACGAGCTAGGCATCCATAAGAAATTCGCCTGTGTCACGAGACCATAAGCAAATGGCCAAGTTGAAGCTGTCAACAAAACCATCAAGCACACCCTGAAGGGGAAACTTGGCGCAGCTAAGGGGAATTGGGCCGACGACCTCCCTGAAGTCCTATGGGTGTACAGAACAACTCCAAGAACCTCCACCTTGGAAACACCTTTTTCGCTGGCATACGGATGCGAAGCAATGATTCCCGTTGAGGTGGGAACTGGTTCACTTCGGAGAGACTTGTACGATGAGACTAACAACGAAGCACTCATAAGGGCAAGCCTAGACCTTATTGAAGAACATCGCAGCAAGGCTTCGCTAAGGATAGCAGCCTATCAGCAACGCACGAAGAAGTTCTTCGATTCAAATGTCAGGCGAAGAGACTTCCAGGTCGGCGACCTAGTGTTAAAGGAAATTCTCCTTGAACCAGGGAACCAAGTGCGGGAGTTTTAGGGCCAAACTGGGAGGGTCCGTACCGCATTGATAAAGTAATCAGACCGGGGACTTATCATCTCAAAAGGCTAAACGGTTCCAAGGTACCCCGAGCCTGGAATGTTGAGCACCTTCGGCCATACTATCAGTAATTCCAAACTCAGCTTTCCTTGTAAATTAATTTCTGATTTTTGTAAGTCATTTCTTTGTAAAATTTTATATTGGACGTTTGTAACAATCTCTGTGTATAATCCTTTTCGTGCGAATGAGTTATGTTATCTTTGACTCAATGAATGTAAACAATCAGAAAGTACTCATGTGTAATGAAACGAACAGAAATTGTGTAAGTAAAAAATGTGAATTTTATTAATAAGGAGTACAGCAGGCAAAAAAGATATGGCTGAGAACCCTAAATTGACTCTTAAAGGGGGCGACCTCCACGTCCTAAGGCTGGTTGGTTGAAGGTCTACCCGAAGCATGTCCCGAACCATCTGCTTGGGAGGCTGCTGCTTCATCATCCTCATGTGCCATTGTCATAAGTGTTTCGCGCCAGCCATCAGGGAGGTCGGACAGGTCGAGCTGCTGATTCCTCGGCTGCAGGGCGTAGATAGACTCGATCGCCCATTCGACAGCCCTCTCCTCGACCTCCTCAGCTTGCTTCTGCATCTCCTCTATCAAGGAAGCAACTTTCCCTTAACTTCCCTAAAGTTCAACTTCAAGAGCCTACCTTAGCTTCTCAGAAGCCTCTCTCTCCTGCTCTACTCGCGTGATCTGTAGGGAGGCCGCTTTCAGTTCCTGGTCCTTCTCCCCAGCCTGCCTAGAGAGTCTGGCTACGGTCTTTTGCAATTCCTTTATCTCTTCCCCCTGCTTCTCAAGCTGCGTCTTCTGGAAGTCAACGGTGCGAAGAGTCGCTTCCTTTTCGCTTTGGAACCGGTTCGCCAATTCGGAATATAAGTTTCTCTCCGTTTCAGCGACCTCCAGGTTTCGCTTGAGCATCGCGTTCTCTCCCTTCAGTGTGACCTCCCTCTTTGCAGCCCCCAGTTGAGCCTTCTCTAGGGACATTCGCATGGAAAGAAGGGCCTATGAACAAAGAAAGATGGAGTTAACCTATCAAAAGAAGCTAAAGGTAGTCCTCGCCAGGAACAGTTCGCTCACTTTGCTTATATGCTGGATCGACATAGACATCAGGTCGACGTCGTTGGAAATTGTGAACTGCTCGAATGATTCCGAGAGTCCGCATTCCAGTAAAGTGTAGACCACCGGCTGTAAATACTCTGATAGGTTTCCCAACGAATCAAACACTGGGGTACCGGTCTTCGCACCCTCAGTAGCAGTCGGTTCAACCCTTGATTCCTTTCTCGGCCTTCTCCCGACGTCCTTCTGAGACCTCCTTAGCTGCTCGCCTTTAGATTTGGTCTCTGATTCCTCGGCCTGAATCTACCTTCTCTTTTTCCGCTAAGCCATCGTTTTCATCCTTGAGCGAGTAGGCGACGGCTGGGAAACCTTCGTGGTTCGCGTTGTTGCATCTTCTACCGGCTGCGAATAAGAAGTTTCGGAAGGTTGCGTCGATTGGCCCAGGGTCGCGCCCTCAGCCAGGGGGATTGTTCGAGCAGCTTCGGCCGGCTTAGCTTTCTTCGACCAAGGAAAATTGATAGGCCTTCGTCGAGGCTGCTCTGGTTCCTTCAGCAGCATGGTTGCTGCATGCAAGACAAGGTTAATAAGGCACTCTATTCCACGACCAGGAAAAGAATTAGTTAGCAAAACTTACATGGTGGAGGCTCTAACGATGCGCTTGCGTTAAAGAAACCATATTTTCGCAAATTAGCGGTCGTCACAAGTGTCCTCTCGTCTCGCTTGTCCTCAGGTAGGGAGCCGAAGTGTACAATTCTTCTCCTGTCGTGGAACAGCCCTATTTCGGTCGTTTTGTTAACTGTCAAGAAGAAAAAACTAGGTCATAAGAGCGAACACGCTTCGAACGCAATAAGTTCGCCAAAGCAAAGCAGAAATACAAACAAAGAGAAAGAGGCCTACTCGGATCCTAGAAGCGGCAATGGCTATCGTAACGAAAGAAGAAAAACTTCGTTTCGTAGGCCCCCGCGTTGCTGGGATAACTGTGTATCCCGTCGGCAATGGTAGGTCGCCTGGACAAGTAATACGAATCCTTGTCCCTGCTCTTTTTCAGATAATATAAGTAACCGAGCTCCAAGGCGGTCAGCTCGCCCAGCCCGTTTTCCTGACATACGATGTACATTGCAACAGTAATGACGTACGTGTTCGGGTCAGCTGCATCGGTGCGACCTTGAAGTGGTCCAAAAACCACCTGATGAAAGGGTGTAGAGGGATAAGTCCTCCACCCTTGATAATCTCCTCAGAGATCGCGGCCAAGCTGCTTGTTGGGTATCGCGACGAGTGCACCTCGATGCCGAATTGGCTTATTAACCTCTCGAGTTCTTCCTCGGTGAGTACCGAGAAAACCTCGAGAGGGATGCTAGGAGCACCATGCGGGGACGAGCTGGTTCCCTGCTCAGGTCTAGTAGTCGAGGGGTCCATTTTGCCAGTCTGCAAAAGTGACAAGCAGAAGGGTTATTTGGCCTCCGTACGCTATATCGTACGATGACGTGGGATGAAATAAACTCCTTAAATCCTAAAGAAAAACCCTAGCAACATGATTTGAGCCGCCATTCACGGCTCAAACCCGGTTCAAACGACTAGTCTCCGATGGGTTACCGGAAGACTGACGCCATTAACTCATGGAAAAAATGAAATAATGGCAAGGAAACTCTTACCTCTCAGAGTAAGACGACAGTTTCTGCTTCAAATGCCAGAAAAATACAGGTTTGGAAGACAAAGGTTCCTGGCCTGTGGAAATCTTTTGTTCTTTGTGAAAAAGGCTATGGTGACATTGCCTGAAAACAATTTGAGGTTTTTATAACGCGGGAATTGGCGTTTGGATTCCTCGGAATCGAAATGACGTTTGAGCGGTAAAGGCTTCTTACCGTTGATCTTGGCCACGTGTCACTCATTAGCGGGGAAGGGTGAACGAAACGACTGGATAAAGTTAAACTTTCATCTTTCCAATTGAAAAGCTCAAACGACGGCCATACTACTCTCAGAGCATTAATTGCATCTTAAATCTTCATTTAATGCTCTGATAAGGTGCGCCGTTCCAACGCATAATGCATTTAATGTTCTGATAAAGCGCATTGTTTCAGTATGCAAGGCATTAAATATGATTGGCTGGCATTTACCACGCAAGGGACACACCTATCAGCACAGGGATTGCTTCATTAAATGCCTTCCTATCACCAGAATAAACGGGTGACGTCAGATGAAACCAGGTCGCTCGTCCTTAAGTATGCGAAGTCGCGCTCATAAAAATGCTACTCCGACCTACTTTCAAACGGACTAAAATTTCCAGAAATCATCCCGTTGTGGCACGACTTGTAGTTTCTAAGGTTCATTCCTCAAACCTTAAAAATTAGGGGGCTTTGGTTATGCCTAAAAATACAAGGGCTGACGTTAGGACCATTTAGCCCACAAAAGTCAGATCATTGGAACAACCACCGTCTGCTTCTGTCAGGATAGTGGGTGCGCATCAGGCAAGCCAGGAGGCTGTGGTGCTCCCACGTGTCCAATCCCTGCTCTAAATTGCGCAAATCACTCTGGAAGGTGGGCAATGTGACATAAAGAAGGATTTGCATGGATAATCCCACCAACTTACAGATTTAGTAATCATTGCCTCATGGCATCTGACTATAAATTGGGAATTCATCTCTCATTAAAAGGGATTCGCACATTTTTACTCTTGATTAATTACTCTCTCTCTCTCTCTCTCTTTAGAATTCTGAGCATTTGATACCTTGTAATATCATTGTAAAGTCAGTCAGCTAATAGCGACCTGACCCTTATCATCAATATAAACATCAGTGGACGTAAGACTTACTACCTTAGCATCCGAACCACTTTAAAAACTGTCCCCATTGCATTTACTATCTCTTTATCCATTACATTCACGTGTGACTTCTGAGTCCATATAACATTTCACACATGTGTTTCGTTGGTGCAAAATCACGCATCAACACCATGCATTGAACAAGATAAAGATGCTGTCTTAATCTAAGTTTTTATCTTATCAATGAATCATTAACATCCACATAACTATAAAACTGAAGGTAAAATTAGATCAATAAGAGATCCTGATTCAAACTATAGATGTTTTGTAAATCCACAATATTAGTGTTCTTAGTTCTATCGTGAATAACTATTAACTGCACAATAACTCAAGGACTATGTACACAGTTACTGAGCTAACAAAAATGCCAATCAAGTTCCTACTTTCAACCCTATATATCGTGCGTTCTAAACATCAAAGACAGTTTCATTAGGCCATCCAACAATCTAAGACAGCAGAACCCAGAAGAGGTATGCAAAATGCAGATCAGTCACCAAGGAGCTGCAGCCAGACTTTCAAAATCAAGCTGAGCATTCTGAATATCCTGCTTACAAACATCCAAATCTGATTTCAGTTCAGTAATCTTCGAATCATTTTGTTGCATAAGTAACATAATCTTTCTCTTCTTTTCTTCTAATAACTTCATTCCTTCAACAACTTCAGCAAACTCTGCGTTGATTTTCATTTGCTCATGAGTGTGGTCTAAGATCTGATGTTCAAATTCTTTCGAAACCTCTTGAAGCTGTTCTTGTCTATCTTTCATTAATTGCAGCTCAGTCAGACGATTCCGTATGGGCTGAACGTCAAAGCCATGCAATTCTATGTCTTGAAGAGTTTCAGAAATGCTATCAAAGATGCTCTTTGGGTCATTGACTTGTAAATCAGATGTCCGCTTTACCACTTTGGCAAAAGTTATCATGTAACCAAATGCTAATCCATCGCGAAACATCTCTTTGCATTGTTTTAAAGGATGGAAGTGAGGCTTCTGTGGCATTGTTTCCAATACTTCTACAGACTCAGAAAAAGTTTTCCGCATTGATGAAAGCTCCATACCAGGGAAGCACTGATTCTTTTCTCTTACTCTATCACCGGCTGAGTCGTTTGCGGTAGATTCCTTTACAATTTGAGTTAGTTTTCCTTTAGCCTTATTCCTCTGGTTCTGGTTGATAGTCCTACCACAGAGAAACCCTGGACAAGAAAAACCAAAACCAATTTATCAAGCCAACTATAACAAGTGGGACTAGATTAAAACTCACATCAGCTTACTTGAGTCAATCAGAATTTTTCGACTGCATAACCCATCAAACCACATTGATGTAGGTTTAGCAGCAGTATCCACGTCGCCCGGTAACTGTACAATGGCCATCTCGGCTTCTCTCGTACTGCAACCTGTATCAGAAATGTTAGCTGCTTTTTCTGCTGATGCATCTTTAGAACCTGAAAAATCCATGAAAGGAGTTAAGATCCAAAACGAGAAAAGTCCAAACAAAAGAATAAATAGACGATATGCTAAACAGAAGGATAAGAAACCAAGGCCCAACTATTTTATTTCAATATGTCTCCCAGCTCAAAGAAAATGAAATGCTTGGCTTGGCTTTGATTATGATTTGCAATTTAGCACAATATCTAGGATGTGCAACATCAGAACTTATCTCATCTTTCCTTTCATGGTAATCATTCTCAGGATATGTCAAGCCTCCCACAAACATTGATTTTTATGAGGAAGGAGATGGTATTTCATTTCACTAATTACAAAAGTTTTTATACCACATATGCGGTTAATTGTGTAAATGTTGCACAATAGCTGAGGAAACATGTAAACAAACTAGTGGACTGCTGTAGCTGATATTCAAATATGTTTCACAAAAGATGCAACAAACATGTTCAACTAGTAATTTAAGAACACCTAGTGTCTAAGTCTGACATTACAAAAAAGAAGAAAAGTAGAAGATCAATCATTAACATTTTTCTTCTGTAGTATTATTTTCTACAGCATATGCTTGTTAAGTTCATTGCTGAATGCTGGTGCAACTTTTAGATATGGCAATTTTTTTCCCCCAATGATAATGCACCATGATTTCGTAGCTATTTTAGTTTGCTTTATGGTTTATTCAAGATCCGCTTTGAAGTAGAATAAGCTCCATACCTGTAGACTCTCCTGTGATTTCAGAAGATTCAACACCATTACTAGCATAATCCTCTAAGTTCATTTTATTAACAGCTACTCTAGCTTCATAACGCTTCTCATCTAAAAAATCACAATACTTCTTTATGTGTAAGAAAATAAGTAATATTACACCAACAGCCCTCTCTTACAAACTTTCTCTCACAGCCTGACTTGACAGCTCGTAATTGATCAGATCGCAATTAATTAGTGAGACTCATGCGGGACCTATGTAGGACTCATTATGAACTGACCAATTGCGAGTTGCCACGTCAGGATTGTGAGAGAGGGTTGTTAGTGTAGTATTATTAGTAAGAAAATGTTAATCTGAAGACATAACTGTAGCATCAAGTTATTGCATACCATTCACTTGAGTTTTTTTACCTTTAGATTCTGCTGCATTTGTTGGTGATTCAGCATCAATAATCACAGGATACTTTAAAACCATATTATCAGCATCACCTTCAGCTCCATCATTCTTTGTACCTTCAAAATCTCCTGTGTTTTTAGCCGACTCAGCATCAATTGCATGATCCTTGAAAGCAAATTTTTTAACAGAACTTCCAGCTCCATCATGCTTTCTAACTTTAGATTCTTCCATGTTTTCTGTTGATAATCCATCATCAATCTCGTGATACTTTAATAACAATTTATCAACATCTTCTCCGACTCCATCATGCTTTGTACGTTTAGACTTTCCAGTACTTATAGGTGATTCAGCATCAGTACTATCATAGTCCTTCAAAACAAGTACATCAACAGCTAGAGTTTGTGTACCTATAGCCGATGTTTTTTGTCGCTCTCCTCTCTTTCTTTTCAAACAGCCAGGGCGACCTTTCTTCTTTGCTATCTGGTTCAAAAGCAAGATTAAACATCATGCATGAGACGGAGTTAAGGTCAAATGAAATTCAAGAGAACAAAATTTCACACTGATCTTAGCTGATATTCTTGGATAAGTAAAGCAATATTTGCACTTACCGATTTTAGTTTCTTGCAATTAGCCACAATATCAGTTTCTTCAGGATTAGCAGTGCCGCTGCAGGGTGACTGTTCTTCATACTGCATGCCGTCAAGGACATCCAGAAACAATGTGATTAGCTCGTCATAAAGGCGTGCTATTTTGTTTATTCTATTTCAGGGATTTATTGTTATAGATATTAAACATATTCGAATCAATGAACACAGACACTAGTTGAGTTGAGACAGCTGAATCTATTTCGGAAAATAATACACCTAAAACGGAATGGAATTTGCAGGGGATGAAGGAAAAATCAAATCTAACAAATACAAAGAAAAATGAAAACCCTAATTTTTAGTCAACCTCATTGTTTTATTCACACTCATAAAATGTGTATGGCACATGATGGAGAATTTCTACTTCCATGTGAAACAAAATAACTACAATGAAGAACAATAAAATAGAGAACGCTTAAGAAGAAAAAAGAGAGAAACCAACTTCATTTATAGACTTCACACCTAAAAAGTTATCAGCTTTAAGAATTTCCCTTTTATTCCTTGAATAAAATCTGAAAAAGATGACACCTTTGACTCAAAACTCAAACAAATTAATCACCATATATACTCAGAAAGCAACTTCATTTATAAACTCTGAACGAAATAGAGAAGCAACAGGAACAAAATAATAATAGTTAAACAAAACAAACAGTAAACAAAGAAAGTAATACGCGCGATTTACCCTGGTTCACCCAATGTAGGCTACGTCCAGCTGAGTCAATATTATTGCAATATGCCTCACTTCTCTCGTTTACAATGAATGAATTGTTCTCACACCCATAACAAGAGAAAAGTATGTTTATATACTAGGTTTAAGGGATTAAACCTAGTTTTACAAGAATTCCTATTCCTAAGCCCAACCCAAAAAGGAATTAATAACTTAAAAGGAATCCTACAGCGGGACCCCCGAGTGCGTCTCCGTTACCCATTAATGCTGAAGTAGTCGACAACTCCAACAAACTCCACCAACCAAAAGTCATCGGCTTTACTATTTTTAATTACATTCTCTGAATAAGATTTAAAAAATATGGCACCTTTGACTCAGAACTCAAACAAATTATCCACCATACTCATAAAAACAAAAACTTTACGTAACCAACTTACATGAAACCCAACAAAAACAAACTTCAAGAACTTGAATACCTTCCGCCGGCGCAGAACCCGACTGCTGATCTTGGCCACCTGCTTTTGGGGTCGGATCCATTTGCCTCCTTCCCAATCCCAGTGAGGCCTCAACTCATGACGCTTAAAATGAAGCAACTGAGGTGGGTTCTCAAAATACACAGAGTAAATGTTTGCTCCTGGTTTATTTCCACAACCACACCAATCCACCACCCATCAAGAGACATGGCATCAACAAAATCATTGACTTGAAGGTCATGCTCATCGTTTGGAGGCAAAGGCCTCACAAAAGAGGAGTTAACGTACTCAGTTAATGCCTTTCCAGAGCCAACATCACGTAGCAAAGTTTGGTACTCTATATGAACATTTTTAGTCCTTTTGTTGGGAGGAGAAGGTGTCAATCGTGGTGGTGATGGTGGCTCCAATACTTTGGCCACGTACCAAACACCTTTGTACCCATCTGAATCACTTCTCACTTCAACTAAAGAGCCTTTTTTGATGAAGGATTTGTCATCACCGCCGGGCATTTTCAGTTTCATTTTTTATCCTAACAATGTATAAAGAAAATATCAAAGGTTTCTTGAGCAACAAAACGGAGAGAGAGAGAGAGAGAGAGAGAGAGAGAGAGAGAGAACGAGGTGTTTTATGCTTTTGTTTTTTATCCTAAGTTAGAATGCAATAGAGATTAAAGCCAGTGGCGAACGATTCGTTTTCCTTATGCAGTGATACATTGTGCACGGGTGTCAGAGTTTGTGTTAACTCACTGCAACAAATGAGGAATTCAATGGAGAGAAATTGAACGGAGTTTTGTTTTGAAGAATATTTAATGATGAAGTTGGTTGAGTTTTAAAAGTCTGTTTAATTGAGGTTTGGAAGCACTTCTAGAAAATTTAAAATCAAATAAACTATTAAATAAATGTTAAAAAAAAAAAAAAAACTATCCCCATTCCAGCCAATGCTAGCTGTGTATATAATACAGTACTTTGGAATTGTATGCTACTAAATATTTATATTATAAATTATTGTTTGTTTCTATTTTAACTTTAACGTTATTCTATATCTTTAAAAATCTAGAATATCACAATCTTATTACATCATCTATAAATCTAGAATATCACGGTCGTGTTACATCGTCTATATCACTATTCAATTAATTTACATTAACTGTGAAATTTTCATTCTCATTTATCTTTATATTGAATGTAATTGATGGTCACTAAATATAAAAACTACTTGGTATGTAAACATTGACTCGGATACCACACCATCAATTTCACCGTGCTATCATAGACTTTCTCATAACACAACCTAATGAATTAGTATTAGTATCACTTCTATTTTTTTTTTTTTTCCCCTCTCATTTATCTTTATAGTTACTATGCTTGACAATACTATACTTATAATCCAATCTCACTAATTTTCTCTCACAATGTTAACGTGATAGCTCGTAATTGATCAGTTTGTAAATAAGTTCTGTTTGCCCAATTACGAGCTATTATATCGAGATTGTGAGAGAAAATTTATAAGATTGTGTTTTGAGTCAATTTTTATTGTAAAATTAATGTTAAAAGGTTTGAATTTTGTTAAGAAGATGTAAGCATCTGAAGTGGGCCTTAATCAGGCTTTGCTCTTATACCCAAACCCAAATTCACTTTTTTTTTTTTTTTTTTTTTTAAAAGAATGCAAGGCTCAGTTAAAATGTTTTAGAGATGTTTTTCAAATTTTACTAGATGTACGAGGGGTAGGGTAATTTTCTAGAGGGTTTTTAGTTATTTATTTTATAAGAGCCTGTTGGATTGGATGTACTTTATTTTGTTTTATAGGTGTCTCGATGTAGTTTCCAAGGGGCAATCATAATTTTTTGGGAGGTTTTTCAAAGACTAATATTATGTTCACAATCTTCTTTTACAACATTAACGTAATAATTGAGTTGATAACTATCACGTCAACTCTCACCACCTCCAAAATATTAAATGACTTTGATTAAACATAAACAATCGTTTCTTCATAAGGAAAAACTGTTCCTTACGAAGAAACAGAAAGAATGATTGTTCCTAATAAATGAACAATCGTTCGTCTTTAAGGAATGTCTATTCCTGTTTAGTCAAAGTCGTCAGTTGACATAATATTGTTAACTTTACTACCACGTTAGGGTTGTAAGAGAAGGTTGTGAGATTAGATTATAAACATAATATTTTTGTTTTTTAAAACTTCTTTAATACCCAGGCTCGGGTCTGGCCCACCAAAACCTTGGCCCAATTTTCCCGAGCCGGACCGTCTATATATTTTGCCCAGGCTGGGTCGATTTTCTTTACATCCTAGTTGGAGCGTCCAGTTTTCCACCAAAGCACTGACGAATATGTAATTCCACCTCATTGAGTTATATTGCTCATGGAGCCTATTTGCAACATGGTTAGTCACTGGGTGCGCCCAGTCACTCAATTAAGCCAGCCCACTTTAAGAAGGCTATTTTTGCATTCTTTTATCGGACCCAACTTGAGCAACAAACAACATGGATATTGGATAATTTGTCTAGGGGAATTTAAAAAAAAAAAAAAAAATGAAAAAGATGTCATTCAAGTAGGGCTGTTGAGAGTGATTTAAAAAAAGGTTGGATAAATGTGTAAGTTTGGTTTTCGTTGAGAGTGATTGTGGAATATTTTTTCAGAAAATTTGTCAAAGAAAAGTGTTGGAATGGTGGTGTCGTTGAGTGGTTTTGTTCCTGTTGATTTGAGATTTGTTAGGCCCTAGGTATTTAAGAATTGTTTTAGGTGTTTGGATAGTTGATGCTGGGTGTAAAAGTGAGAGTTTTCCCTAGAAAATTATGATGGGTGAGTACTCGAGATCTTTGGCTAGATTTGGTTTTTTCTAGCTAAATACACGGTGGATCTGACCGAAAAATGCTAGATCGGCACACTACTGGCCAGATCCAGTCGATAGTGCGCCATTACGGTAGATTTTGGCCACCTTCTGGTGGTAATGGCTGAAATCTGGCAAATGTGGGTGAATGGGGGTGTTTTTGTCAATTTATAAACTTTTTTGTTGGGGGTGTTTAGTTAAATTAACAAACCTAAGGGGTTTAAAAAAAGTTGAATAAAATAGAATTAGATTTTGAAAATAGAGAAAAAAAATATGTATTGCGAACAAGATATGAATAGTCTAGGGAAAAAAAAAACAGTAAAACAAACATGATTTTTCGAGAAAAAAATTAATATTATATTACTATTTGCCAAATGTGTGCAAAAGAAGTAGTCGAAACATTTTAAATAATGCTTAAACTCTATATTTAATATTATTTTGGTAGTCAGTGATGATTTACTCTTAAGGTCTTAGTTAAAGAAATAAAAAAAAAAAAAAAAACATTTTAAAAGAAAAAAATGTGGTCAAAATATGTTTCATATTATAAGATATTGTCATATTAATTATTTACATATGAGTACCAAAGATGTGAGAGATGTGTTATAAATTAAATGACGAGTGTTTCTCTCGTGAAGTCCAAAGTTCTCAATAATGCTTTAATTTGTGACCTCCAATTCCAAACCTTTGAAATTCTTCTATTTCTTCAGGGGTTGTTAACAAATAAAAACCCCCTTAGGTATAATCAAATAAAAGAATCCCCTATTAGTTTGTAATAATAACAAAAGTTCACTACGTTCATTACACTTTCAGTGTTAAAATATGCGACAACGGGATAATTTCATAAATATTTATTAACTTACTATGTTATAAATATTTTTTTTTTTTTTTTTTTTTTTTTTGTTGTGACCGAGAGGTATAGACCAGTTTATAAACACTTTAATTAATTCTTCGAGACTTTAAAATTAACGACTAAGTAAACCTTTGTATTAGTATTAAGGGAATCAAATTCATAACTTCTTGAGTAATATACCCAAGAATCCCTATTGTCTCACCTCGGCCACCCAGTGGTGGTTTGTGTTATAAATTCTAATGACTCGGTAACACTAAGGGGGTTTTATGTTAATTTTTAAAATTTCAAGGATGCTTTATTATTTGATTAACCTATGCGGGTCAAGAAAACCCCCTTTTTTTTTTTCCAGCATGATTCGAGAGTTATATTAATATTTTTTTCTCACTTAACATCTAAACGCCGACACAATTGCTTGTTAATTTATTCTCTTCAAATAAATCTACAGTAACAACCAATAATATGCCTTTTAATTATGGGACATAGGCCACCTTTTATTAAAGTTTAATGATGATTGATTTGATGGCCAAATTTCTGCTCCAATAATACATAGAACTAAAATTATGAAAGCAGAATATATTGGTTAATTAATTAATTAAAATGAGAAATAAAGTTTATATTATAAGATACATATGTCACCATACTTCCCAACAAGGCATGACCATTGACAGATTATATTTAAAAAAAAATGGTGGTTATGATAATGAAAACCAACCTATTTTTTCAGCTAATTCAAGTTAAATTAATTAAAGTATGATTGTAATGTAACACCAAACTTATTATAGAGAGAGAAGTATATAATACTAGAGACAAATTAGCTGGTGTGGATCCCATTCATTACTCAAAATTAGGGTTTACATAATTATTTGACCTGGTCAAGTTTGATTCTCCAAGTGTATCTCAATTGTTAGAGATATAAAAGTCTATATTATACTTGATTGGCTACATTCATGATATGAATAAGAAGAATTTAATTTATATATATATATATATATATAAATTATGAACTATATGTAGAATGACTCTATAGTAAAATTAAAAGGGGTTTAATTTAAAATTAATAAATAAAAAGATTAATTATTAATCAATTAAAGTGAAGTTGCATTTTGCGTGAAATCAACAGATTAACCTTTTATTTGATAGAAAAGATTGAAGCATTTTATATGCTTTTTAATTTGTGATTAGATGAAAGTTGATGATAGAATTGAGATTAGAAAGAAAGTAAAAGTTAAATCGGTTGGAAGGAAAATAATTGAATCATTCAAAATCTTAAGAAAGCCTTACATTAACTTTAGATTAAACCACATTCTCACTCGAGGTTTAGCGAAATCTCAAATTGATAACCCTGATTGCATTTATTAGATTTTTACCTTTAAACTAATATCGTTAGTGACTATTGAATGGTTAAAATGATGAATGCCGGCAAGTGAAGGTATAGGTTTTGTAGAGGAGGTTCTGGAGAGTCCAATAGCAATCTTGGAAGTGATTTTGAATTTCAAAATCTACCGAAAAAAGCCAAAAACCTCAACTTGAACGCTGTTAACTTGAGCTATTTTTTGTTAACATGAGCGTTTCTTTGGTCAAAGAAAGTACTGACGCAGTTTAGCGTGCTAATGTGCATTGCATTATCATAAAAAGTTAAAAATATGTTAAAATAAAAGAAACGACGTTACTTTAAGGGTGAGATTTAGAATAATACAATCAAAGATATCACTTGAGATTTCGTTCAACCTCGGGTGGGAGTATGTCGTTTGCTCTTAACTTAAATAATACCAATAAATTAGCTTTAAGCCACCTAATTACACCAAGTAATTACTGCTTAATTGCATTATT